TATAATAGACTAGAGGTCTGGTGCATGAAATTTGTGCATGGTTTGGGTCCCTAGGCCTGGCTGTTGATCAGGGCCCATCTGTGGGGAAACCAGCAGAGCAATGAGGGGGCCTCCACTGGCAATTGCCTTGGCTGGCTTGGGACCTGCAGGTGGGGGCAGTTCCTATGTTGAGTGTCTGCCCCCTGGTGGTCAGTTTGTGTCATAGTGACTGGTCATCCTGCCAGTCATTCTGCTATTTGGTCGATTTGCACATTAGGCTTTTATTGTATAGGATTCTGTTTTTCTGGAGAAGCCTGATCTTGGCTCTTTTAGGTAACTCTTTTCTAAACTTTGGGCTGGTCATTTACTTTTTTCTTTTTTTAATATGTTTTTATTTATTTTAGAGAGGAAAGGAGAAGGATATGTGTGTGTGTGTGTGTGTGTGTGTGTGTATATATATATATATATATATATATATATATATATATAGAGAGAGAGAGAGAGAGAGAGAGAGAGAGAGAGAGAGAGAGAGAGAAAGAATCATTGATCAGCTGTCTCCTGCATGCCCCTTAATGGGATTGATCCTGAAACCCTGGGTATGTGCCCTTGCCCAGTGTGGAACCCAGGACCCTTCAGTCCACAGGCCGATGCTCTGTCCACTGAGCCAAACCAGCTAGGGCTAGTTATTTACTTTTTCTTTTTAATTTTTAAAAAATATATTTTATTGATTTTACACAGAGAGGAATTGAGAGGGACAGAGAGTTAGAAACGTCAATGAGAGAGAAACATCGACCAGCTGCCTCTTGCACACCCCCCATAGGGGATGTGCCTGCAACCAAGGTACATGCCCTTGACCAGAATCGAACCCGGGACCTTTCAGTCCGCAGGCTGACACTCTATCCACTGAGCCAAACCAGTCCCGGCTATTTACTTTTATTTAGTCATTTACTTTTAGTTACATGTTCTTTTTTCAGCCAGGCTTAGTACATGTAAGTCTCTCTAAATTTCAGATATATTTTTCTGAGACCAGGACTTACTTAGCCACTTTGGCCACTCAAATATAAAGCATCTTTTAGGATAAATTATTCCTTTAGATTGTTATCTCATCCATCATAAGTTGACTCCCATATTTTCATTGTCTCAAAGTAGAGGAAGTCCTGCTAGTTCCTTTAGCAAAACCTAGCTCAGGTCCTACAAGGAGAAGTAATGTGAAGACTCTTCATGGGCTGAGGGATCCCACAGGGAGGCGGGGCCACACAGCTTTCCATCCTTTGGCAGCATCAGGCTGGTCTCTAGAGGATGGATGGTTTCCTATTTGTGGTGGCTGAGGAAGAATGCAGGGTTACTCTTCAGGAGATCACTGATATTCACCCTTCATTGAGAACCTTGAGGGGACCGATTTTGTTCCTCTGGGAGCCCACGTTTCCTTTCAGAGAGCGATCCTATTCCACGTTCTGGAGGTGATTTACTTTTCCTCTCATTATGGAAGAAGAATCAATAAGACTTGATTCTTGATCAGATGTGGTAAAGACAAGTGAAGAAAGACATGACTGTGAAAAAAATGAAGGAAATGTAAATCTTTTCTGAAAAGTATGATGGGGGGAGAGAGGGTAGCTGAGGTCCAAGATGCCAGCCCTCAGTAATCACTGCCACACTGTTGCCCTCCAGCTCTTCACTTCATCTGTTCTACCACAGGCAGCAGTAGAGGGCACCTCCTGCAAACCGACTGTCTCCAGTCAGTGTGGAGAAGGAAAGGACTCAGACTTCTGTAGTGCTGCTCCCTTCAGGTGGCACCAAACACACCTGTGTCCCCTCCCCTCACCATGGAGCTGTTGTGAAAGTTTTTGTTTCTACCAAACCCATTCATAAGTTCAGTAATTAATTCCTTTTTCCCCCTCATGTCTTAACTAGAATTGACATACTGATCCTTATTATTTGAAATACCAAAACCTAGCATGGTTCAAGATGAACCCCTAATTAAATGAGGAAATGATGAATGCCATAATACATATCAGGAAGAACTATTTTGAGGTTGTTTTGTTGTTGCTGTTGTTGTTTTTAAGAGAGAAACATCAATTTGTTGTTTACTTATTTATGCATTCATTGGTGGTTTCTTGTATGTGCCCAGACCAGGAATTGAACCCACAGCCTTGGTATATTGGGACAATGTTCTAACCAACTGAGCCATCCAGCCAGGGCCACATTTTGAGATTTTTGGTGTTCATTTTTCAGATGCTGCTACCTACAAAAGGAAAATGTATTTTTCATATAGGTAATAGGGAGATCTGGCAGTTACCACTTTACTGAGCCATCAAACTTAGCATAATTAATAATGAGACATTCTGACCTGTTGTGGCTCTAGGATGATGTAATGTGAAGTACATAATGTCATCTATTAAGCATTCTTTGCAAAAATAAATAAATATATGTTTACCCTGAATCTAATACAACCTGTAGAATTATTTCCATTTTGCAGGAAATGTAGGCTTACAGCAGCACTGTTCAACAGAACTTTTGGTAGGGTATCTCTGCACTGTCTAATACAGTAACCATCAGCCTACCAAAAATTAAACTTTATTTCATTTTAACTAATTTCAATTTGAATTTAAATAGCCACATGTGGCTAGTGGCTACTATATTGGACAGGAGAGGAACAAGTTAACCACCACAGAAACAATGACACAATGGGACATTCTACAAGGTAACACACCTTGAGTTTTCAGAAAGTCAATTTTACTACTTTTTTAAGTGGTATATTTACACAATGAAAGGAACCCTTAATTTATGTGACAGCATGGATGGATCTGGAGATTATTATGCTAAGCAAATAAGCCAGACAGAGAAAGACAAATACCATATGACCTCACTTATATGTAGAATCTAATAAACAAAATAAACTGACAAACAAAATAGAACCATAGGCATGAATATATGGAACAGACTGATCCGAGGTCATGGGCGGGAGGTAATCAATGTTTCTCTTTCTTTGTCTCTCCCCTCCCTCCCACTCTCTTTAAAAATCAACAGAAAAGAAAATATTCTCAGGTGAGGACAATAAAAATAAAAATAAAATAGCTTCTCTTCTCTATCATATGATTTCAAGTTTAAAACAAAATAAATAAAATGGGAGGAGTGTTCTACTTTAAAAGAAATTAAAGAAACCCAATATCCAAATGATAAAGTTGGGGGAAACTTAAATGTGACCTCAATAATCTTACCTACTAAAAGAGAAACATGCAAATTGACTGCACCTTCGCTATGCGCACAAGTCAATCAGGACGAGTATGCAAATTAGCCCGCCCAATATGGCAGTTAATTTGCATACCCGGCCAGTTGAAGACTGAAGGCAGCATAGAAAGAAGACCAGCGCTACAGAAGGGAGCAAAGTGTAGAGAAGCAAGCAAGCAGGGCCGGGGAGAAGGATGGGAACCAGGTGGGGCAGGGAGAAGGGAGGAAAGCAGGTGGGGCAGTGACCACAGCAGGAAGCCCCCCCTATTGCGGGAATCTTCCTGCAACAGGCCACTAGAAGATATCATAATTTTAATTAGTTATTTAGAGGAGTGCCCTTATTTTTAGGAGTTGCCTGTGTAAGTATTTAGGGAATGAAATATATCTGTAACTAAGTATAAAACGGTTGAGAGGAATATCTCTATATCTTTATCTATCTATCTAGAAGTGGAGGAGGGAAAGCGAAAAGCCAAATGGTTGCAATTGTTGAATATAAGTTAAGGGTGCACTGGTGCTTATGGCACTATTCTTTCAAATTTTCTGTAGATTTGAAAACTTTCCCTGAGAGTTTGGGGGCTGGGATTATAGAACTAAGAAATACTGTGTTTTCAGTTTTTTTCCCATTAACCTATTTGCTATTTGTTCATTTTGTGTGGGCCACCATTTGCCTATAGACAAATGGCGGTAAACACCATTTAAAGAAATATGTAGCCCAGCCGTTGTGGTTCGGTGATTGTTTTCCTGTAAACCAGGAGATCATGGTTCGATTACGGCACATGCCCAGGTAATGGGCTTATTCCTGGTGGGGGCATGCAAGAAGCAGCCAATCAATGATCATTATGTTTCATCACTAACGTTTCTCTCTCTCTCCCTCTTCCTTTTTCTCTGAAATCACTAAAAATATATTTTAAAAATATTTAAAGTTGAGTCAAATACCTTAATTTTTCTTGTAAGCCAATCCAAGGTTATTGTTCTTTGATCTTAGCAGAATGTCTCATGCCAGTCTCCCTGAAGAGTGGTTTGAGAAGCTGAGTAAGCTCATCTAAATAAGAATGGTCTTTTGCTCCTACTCTCAGTCCCTGACTTTGACAGCAGCCAGGGCCTGCCTTGTTCTAAGCTAAGCAGACCATGGAACTTGGTTCCCCAAAGGGATCTCTTCCCACTCTCTGCTTTTGGGAAAAGAAGTAACCCTCCAACCACACCAGAGGGAACCAGGAGCACAAGTGGCTCGTATCTTTTCCTGTAACAAGAACTGGATGCCTAGTTGCTTTATCAAAACACCCCCACTGAGAACCACAGTGACAGAATAGGTCCTTACCTGCCTTAACAGCTAGCACTCCTCTGGGGATTATATAGTTCAAGCAGTTTTAATCCATTCTTGCTCTCAGAATGAAGCCTCAAAAACTCCATGTGGGCAGGCTGGCACTTCTACCTACCACCCTTTGTGTAAGCATCGTAGATCTATCTCTATTTATACCTACTCAGTTGCCCCTCCACCCATGCAGCCTTTGATACTTTTTAAAAAAAATGTATTTTTATTGTTTTTTTTACAAAGAGGAAGGGAGAGGGATAGAGAGTTAGAAACACCGATGAGAGAGAAACATCGATTGTGCCTCCTGCACACGTCCCACTGGGGATGTGCCCGCAACCAAGGTACATGCCCCTGACCAGAATCAAACCCGGGACCCTTCAGTCTGCAGGCCAACGCTCTATCCACTGGGCCAAACCAGCCAGAGCTTGATGCTCTTTTTCCATCTTTCCCTGAAGGAAAATGATTAAAATCCTAAGACTTGATATTATCACTTTATTCAGGAGATAATCAAATATAATACAGGGTCAACACTGAATAATAGCTGAACATAAATTTGTATAAATCGGCTACATTGTCCAGAAAAGATTCAATCATTATAAACAAGGAGGGTGCCTAAATGACTGCAGGGTTTCGAGCAAGTGTCCCCCACTCCCTTGAGTGAAGATGGCTCCAGGTGAAGGTGGTCCTTTAGCAGGAAGAGGAAGCCGTGCCTCTGGCCGGCCAACATTCAGCGGCAGGCTTTGTTGAACTCCTGGAGTGCCCAACGCCTGTTCTCGGTGGTCTGCTTGAGTTGGGTGTACTCTTTTACCAGCTTGTCAAACTCCTCCCCAAGCACCTCATAGGTGTTTAGGACCTGTCGGGACTTCTCCATGTCCTGTTTTTGTAGCCGAATGGCCCCCTCCAAACGGTCCCTAAGAGCCCGGGCACAGAAGATACAATATAAGAATGTAGCTCCTCAGAAAATATAATAGACAACAATGAGGATGTGTTAAAATGAATGGGAACCAGCTCTGAAAAGCTGTACCAAGCTCTTAGGAGTTCTCACCTAATGAGACGATGAACTTCTACTTTCTCAGCAGTGTAAGTGTCAGACAAAATCTTTAGCTCTTCCATCCTGACAGAGGAAAGAAAGAAATGTGAAGATGAAGATCTCTGACAGCAGTGGAGTTAGGAATGGGACACAGCACCTGCCATGGTCAAAGGTGTGGGCTAAGCAGTGACAAGATAAACAAGGTCACTCTGAATTCCTGAGCAATTTACCTCACAGTCAAGCACCTATTTCAGAAAGCTTTCAAATAAAAGAATCAAGAATGTTGAAAACTTTGGGGTAATCTGAAGGCTAATAGTGCTATGTGACATTTACTGGATCCCACAAGGTGCTAGACATGTTAGAGAGAAGAGAGATGAGGGGGGGTTGTAGGGAGCGTGTATACCTTAGATCCATAGGGCTCACCTCAGCTTAAGGATCATGGCACTACACTTGATCTCCAGGTACTGGGCGTTGATGCGGTCTAGCTCAGACTGAGTCTTCAGCCGGTGCTCCTGAAGCAATCTGTGCAGTAAGGCCAGGCAGCGGAGAAGCACCTGAGCCCAAGGAGGCGGGAGGGAGCGATGGTAGAGAAGGCAGGTCAGAGGTCCTGGCTCCCCAGGTGCCCTGGGGTCCGGGTAAAGGAGAGGAGCCCCCCCGCCCCAGCAAACCTGGGAGTAGGTGGCTCTCTTCTTCTCCAGCAGCACTCCCTGCTCCTTCTGCTGGCTCCGGGCCTCCTGGCACTGCTGCTTCTCACTCACCAGCATCTCTGCCAGTTTCCATACCTTTGCTGCCTTCAGGGTTTCAGGATCTGAATCTGGGCAAAAAGTCAGAGGACTGGACAGTAAAACCCTAATTGCTATGGACCTAGGAATTCTGTCTTCATCCAGGTTTTCTTCTGATATCCTGTTAAAAATGGCCCAGTTCTCATAATTGTCTTCACTCTTTTTTTGATCTTTTTTAAGAGATCAACCGAAGGACTTGTATACATGCATATAAGTACAACCAATGGACACAAAACTCTAGGGAGGAGGGGGTATGTTTGGGGGGGGGGGGGCAATGTTAAAATATGTACACAGATAATAATTTAATTAAAAAAAAGAAATCTTTAAAAAAAAATATATTTTACTGCTTTTTTTTACAGAGAGGAAGGAAGAGTGATAGAGAGCTAGAAACATCAATGAGAGAGAAACATCGAACAGCTACCTCCTGCACACTCCCAGGATGTGCCCGCAACCAATGTACATGCCCTTAACTGGAATCAAACCTGGGACCCTTCAGTCCACAGATCGACGCTCTATCCACTAAGCCAAACCTATTTCGATTGTCTTCACTCTATTTCCAGATTTGGCTCTTAATTCTTAAATCATAGAAATAAAGACAAGGGCAACACCTATTAGCCTGAACTTTCCTCTGTATTCTATGCTGATTCTCCTGAGAACTAACTCATTCTTCCCTGAAGCAAGAGGACCTCTGCTGAATAAAAGGTCCAGCTGGCACAGCTCAGTGGTTGAACATTGACCTATGAACCAGGAGGTCATGGTTTGATTTCCAGTCAGTGTACATGCCCTGGTTTGAGGCTTGATCCCACTAGGGGCGTATAGGAGGCAGCCAATCAATGAGTCTCTCAATATCAATGTTTCTATGTCTCTCTCCCTTTCTCTATGAAATATATATATTGTATATATACATATGTGTGTGTATATATATATATGTGTGTGTGTGTATATAATATATAAAAATATACATACAAATATATACATATACATATACATACATATACATACATATACATATATATATAGTTCTCACAAAATTCCTTGCTTTTATTCTACCAGCAAGGAAACAAACATCTCCAATGTCTCCAATGCTTCCCAGCTTCTGTCCCAAATCCAAATTCAAATATAATGTTCTCAAAGAGCAACCCAGGAGTCCTGAGGACTGGCTATGACCAGACACCGAGCCAGCACTCACCAGAATTAGGATCATGGTAGCAAAGGAGAGTAAAACACTTCTTCTTGAGTTGCTCCTCCACTTCCAGTGGAAGCCGAGCTCTCATCCATACAAAATCCTTCAATCACAGAAACAGAGAGAGATGCAAATAGACTGTGAGAACTAGGAAGATCCAGCCAATGAATACATGACAACAATCTCAATGATAACCAAAGGAAATGCATTAAGAGACATCAGGGAACCCTGGTCAATGTGGCTCGGTTGGTTGGAGTGCCCTCCAGTCAGGGCCCATACCCACAGATTCAGGTTTCAATCTCTGGTTGGGGTGAAACCAATCGATCTCTCTCTCTCTCTCTCCCTTCCTCTCTCTAAATATGTTTAAAAAAACCAAAAAAAAAAACCCAACACCCACAAAAAGCTTATGTGCCTCAGTAAGCTGGATGTCACCCTATATACAAGGATGTTGCCTATTCAATTCCAGGTTGGGGTACAAGCCCAGGTTGAGGGCTCCATCCCTGATGGAGGGTATGGCATGCAGAAGGCAGCCAATCGATGTTTCCTGTTCACTTCAATGTTTCTCTCTCTCCCTTCCTCTATCTAAAAAAACAAAAACAGCTGAGACCGGTTTGGCTCAATGGATAGAGCGTCGGCTTGGGGACTGAAGGGTCCCGGGTTCGATTCTGGTCAAGGGCATGTACCTTGGTTGCGGGCATATCCCCAGTGGGGGGTGTGCAAGAGGCAGCTGATCGATGACTCTCTCTCATCGATGTTTCTAACTCTCTATCTCTCCCTTCCTCTCTGTACAAAATCAATAAAATATATTTAAAAAATAAATAAATAAATAAAAATAAAAAATAATAAAAAAACAAAAACAAAATCAATTAAAAAAAACATTTAAAAAGACAGCAGAGAGATTCAATTAAAAAAAAATGTAATGCTTTTAGTAGAGATGTACAAAAAAACGCACAAAAACAACTATCAGGAGATAAACAAAATACAGGGCTGACATTGAAAAATAGCTGTACATGCGGAGCACTGTTTAAAATAGCTAATGTCTGAACAGAGAGATTCATTTTTAGCTTATCAAATTAGCCAAGAATAATATGACTGTTCAGATCCCACACTGATGAAAAAGAGTGGGGAGGTACGGGCACTGGAAAGACCTTTCTGGAAAACAGTTTGGCAATATGTACCAATATGTTCTATGTGTGTATCCTTTGACCTAATGATCCCACTTTGAGCAGTAATACTTGGGAAATAATCATATAAGAGCAAAGACACATATGAATTAGCATGTTCATCAGTGTGGTTTCTAAGAGCAAAAATGTGGAAACAACTTCAAATTAATAACCATCAACAAGGTTAAACAAATTATGTTTCATCCATATAATGGAATCCTGTCAGTTATTTAAGCCAATGACAGAATAAAAACAATGAGCACTAACTATGTTCCTGGACACTGTGCTAAGAGTGCTTTAGGAAGTATCATCTTATTTGCATCTATTTGTTGACTTGAAAAGAAGTCCAAAATATATTAAGTGAAAATATATTCTCTGTACAAGCATGGAGGATATAATACTATGTCAAGCTGTATTATTTATTTCTAGATGTAGTATTTCAGCTTTTACTTTCTTCTGTGTAATGTATTTTTTATTTAAGTTTGACCACCATGAACATGTACATTTTAAAAACAATAAAGCTTAACCAAACGATGTTCAAATAAATATACAGGAGAAATTAAGCCAATATTTGCTCGTTCCCAACCTCTGAGGGCGGCATGAGCTCCAGAAGGTCCGCCTTCTCCAGTCCGAGCAGTGGAGGCATCACCCTCTCCTGGCTGGGACCTAAGAGCTGTGTTAGTTGAGTCACAAGTAGCTGCTGTTCAAGGGTCTCATGAAACTGAGAAGAAAAACAACTGGAGGTTACTATAAAACTTCCTTCACTCCACCTTCTCCATCTTCAAGAACCAGTTCTTCACACATTTCAAAGTCCTCAAATATGTCATCCTCTTCAGATAACTTACCAGCTGTCAGTGCCTTCTCCTGTTAATCTTTCTTTTCAAAACCCTGACAAAACACCACCTCTTCCCCTCATAACTACAGTCCATTTCTCTAGCCATTACATGAAGCTCCTACTTCCCCCAGATCATATAATCGGATGAAGCCTTGGTTGGCATGCTCATTCCTATGGTAACCAACCTCTACTGCCTCTCTCCTGCCCCACCTTTTTGTCCTCAGAAGTTAAATTTGTGTCTTGTATCTTCACATAGTAGTCCACAAGCAGCTCTTGGATGACTCTTTGTAAAATCTCAGACCTCAGCCATGTTGTCTTATGCAGTCGAACTTCCTTCCATGCCTAGAAAATTTTAAAAATCCCAGTTAGGAACCTCTCTCTTGTAAGATTTTTCCTTCTTCGAACATCCCTTCAATTAGGGCTCTTACCTGAGCCTGCTCCTTGGCCAGGGAGAGGCTTAAGCCACTCTCATCCATGTGTTGTGAGAGACTCAGCAGCAATTTGCTGAAGTGTGGATTCTGTAACAGCTCCTCTTCACTCAGGTTACAAGGAGGAAGCTGTCTGCTGCACACTTTAGTGGGATGTCCTTGGGACAAAAAGCAAAGAAGGTATGAATTCTTAATTTATATAATTGAACGTAACTCTTAATATTAAAAACAACAACCCAGTTTTTGGTAGGAAAGGTTCCTAATTCTAATAAGATTTAAAAATCCACAAAAAGCCCTACCCGGTCTGGCTCAGTGGATTGAGCCTCAAACTGCGGCCCAAAGGTCCTGGGTTAGATTCCAGTCAAGGGCATGTACCTTGGTTGCAGGCTCCTCCCCTACCCAGGCCCTGGCCCGGGCTTGTGCAGAAGACAACCAATCGATGTGTTTCTCTCACATCGATGTTTCTCTTCCACTCTCCCTAAAAATCAATGGAAAATATTCTTGGGTGAGGAATAAATAAACAAAACAATCCACAAAATCAACTGACTGAGCATAGTCCCATGTATCAAGAGGTCAGCAGTTTGATTCTGATCAGGGTACATACTCAGATTATAGGCCGGATCCCCTGTAGGGGGTGTGCAGAGGCAGCCAATCAATGTTTCTACCCTCTCTCACTCTTCCTTTCTCTCTTTCTAAAATCAATAAAAATGTTTTATAAACAGGAATTCAGGAATGAGTCTCTAATAAAAGTAAGATCTTAGAAAATGGAAATACAGTTGAAAAGCCTGAGATAAATCAATAAGGGACCCTTCAGTAGGGATCACCCCAGTATCCCAAATAGCTCATTCACACAGAATAACTAGAGTTCTTGAGGAAGGGGAGAAAAAAATGCATGTAAAGTTTCAACTTTGGATATAATCTCTAGTCACATAAGCAACTGAAAGTATACTTTTCTTAAGAGTAAAATTTAAAAATTTAACCAAATTCTCCCTATTGTAAATAGGGTTGAGTAACAGAATAGCACATGCATGAGAAAAAGTACAAGAAACTGGGAACCTGTCATAATTCCATATGTTCAAGGGTCTTTTTAAAAAAATATGTTTTTATTGATTTCAGAGAGGAAGGGAGGAGAGACAGAAACATCAATGATGAGAGAATCATCGATTGGCTGCCTCCTGTAGCTAGCCCCCTACTGAGGATTGAGCCCACAACCCAGACATGTGCCCTTAACTGGAATTAAACCCAGAACCCTTCAGTCTGCAGGCCGATGCTCTATCCACTGAGCCAAACCGGCCAGGGCAGGGGCTTTCCATTTTTTTTCTGAAATGCTGTCTGCTGGAGGCTTCTGTTTTACTCCCACTTACCAAACACTAAAATTTTCATTCTTTGGACCATCATACTCAAAGTCCTTTTACAGGATAAGAAATCTCTCTCTCTACCCGCCAAGGCAGAATGATCAATATGGAAATGGTCAAATATAGAAGATTCAAGTCTCTGAAAGATTCAAGATATAGAAAGGACCTGAACTATGGAAAGAATCCAAGATATTGGAAGGATCTGAGGTTTTGGAGACAACATATTAAAAAATGTAAGATATAGGTAAAAAGGAAGCACTTAAGGAATTTACTGGCCACCCTTATCTTCTGGATAGGGTTGCTCACACAGAATGGGAGCATCTTGAATTTTTAGTCTACTGTACAAGCAGACACTGACCAGGAGTCAGTGTAATCTGTTCTCCAATAAGACAGTGTGAAAAGCCGGGACCGGTTTGGCTCAATGGACAGAGCGTCGGCTTGGGGACTGAAGGGTCCATCCCCGGTAGGGGGTGTGCAAGAGGCAGCTGATCGATGACTCTCTCATTGATGTTTCTAACTCTCTATCTCTCCCCCTTCCTCTCTGTATAAAATCAATAAAATATATTAAAAAAAAAAAAAAGACAGTGTGAAGAATTGTCATGTATCCTAATTTCTTAGAAACAAGCTTCTATGAGAGAAACCATACTGGTGAACATTATAAGTCCCATTCTCTTCCCCCCCTCCCCCCCCCCATTATAAGCCCTTTCTATTACAGAAGGTAAGAACATGGATAAAACCTCTCTGGACAAGTCATCAAAACTCTTGCAAATGGCTTTTTCTTACCTTGTTGGAGTATTTCCATTCCTTCTCCAGATGAACAGAAATCCCCAGATGCCATCTGATATTCTTATCTTTTGAATCCATCCGGAGAAAACAAAAAGATGAGTTGACTGGATGCTCCTTGGGTTCAAATTTCTATTGTCTACAAGCTGGGGAGGGACTTAGGGATGCCTCTTCACAAGGAGGGACTATATCCCACATCCAAGGTCCCAAGCTCTTATATAAGTTTTATAGACAAACAGACTTATCATCACAAAACATTTTGCATTCTAAACACATAAATGTTTTCACTTGTTATGCTGTCTAAGAGGGAGCCTCCTTAAAAAAAACTTTCCAATTCATTAGGCTAAGCAGGAGGATGTTCCCTCTCTCTACAATTATTTCTTTTTTGTTTTATCCTATCGTTTTTAAAAAATACATTTTATTTTATTTTTTTTAAATACATTTCATTGATTTTTTTACAAAGAGAGAAAGGGAGAGGGAAAGAGAGTTAGAACCATCGATGAGAGAGAAACATCGACTAGCTGCCTCCTGCACACCCTCCACTGGGGACGTGCCCGCAACCAAGCTACATGCCCTTGACCGGAATCGAACTTGGGACCTTTCAGTCCACAGGCCGAAGCTCTATCCACTGAGCTAAACCGGTTAGGGCTCCACAATTATTTATAAGTTAAACCTGAGCTGCTGCTTCTCAGTTAGGAGTGAACTGGGGGAAAGGAAAGAAAAAAGAAACCAAAGTCTACTTTTCCCCCTTCAAATCACTCAGCTATTAAATTCCACAATAGTTTCTTGCACTTCTTTAACTTGTCCTTTCATCTAAGATGCGTTGGTAGTTTTTTGTTTTGTTTTTTTATCATTAATTCCAGAAACACCCTTCAGGAGTAACAAATCATTCCACACTTTAACAACGACCGGCCGGTTTGCACCTAACAGCAGTAGTAAAGGGCACCTGGAGGAAAGAGCCTAAGACAACACACAGGGCCCAGCCAGCAGGGCTGTGGCTGAGCATCCATCTGTGAACCAGGAAGTCACCGTTGCATTCACCGTCAGGGCACATGCCTGGGTTGCAGGCTCAGTCCCCAGTGTGGAGCATGCAGGAGGCAGTTCATCAATGATTCTCTCTGATTATTGATGTTTTCTACTCTCCCCCTCTCCTTCTCTCTGAAAACAATAAAAATAAATTTAAAAAAAGGAGAAGACAGACAGGGAGGTCAGTGCCAAAAGACTAATACGAAGGTGTGGTTAATGCAGCTGAGGCCAGAACATACAGTACACTGAAAAGAATGACATCAATACAAATCGGCAGTGACGGATACTGTTGGGTCTCTGGAGACAAAACATTTCCCTTGACATTATTTTCCATTTTGCTGCTTCAACCTCTCCTCTAAGGTGTCAAACTCCAAAGGACAGCTGTGCCTCCCCAAGCAGAACAGACACAGAAGGTTATTGTGATTTAACATTTCATGTTCACAGAACGTTCGGTTTACTCCCTCGTTTGATGAGCAGTAACATCAAAGTCACTACTCATCTGTTTTGTAACTCGGTCTGGAGGGGGAGGCAGCTGAGGAGTCGGATGCTAGGGCTTCATGTGCGGCTCAGCCATTGTTCTTGGCGAATTTAAGGGAGATGGTTTTTTTGTGTGTGTGTGTGCCAAACTTCCTCCCACCTGCAAAACCAAGATAACAATTCCCGCCTTGGAGAGGGCTGAAGAATGAATGGCACAATCTCCTTGTCCACCAAAGCCACTTGTTTAGGTGAGCTCGGTGTTTTCGCAATTGTCTTTGATCGAGGCCTGCAAACAGAAGTTACACAAATTTCACTCACCACGATGGGACCCCCTAAATTTCACAAAGGCCCGCTGTTCTGGCCTCCGCGGGGGCACTGCCTATCCGGGTGGCTGAGTGCTTTTCTTCCCTTTTTGAATGTCGGGGGCGGGGGCCACGGCGGCCCAGCGGCTCCTCCCCCCGCGCTCAGACGTGTAAAAGCGCTGCTGTCTCTGACTCAGGCGTCTTTACCTCCTCGGAGCTGTCTTTACACGCCGCGCTGCACGTTAAATTGATTTTACAGGCATTTTCACAAGATGTGACCCCTGCAGAGCCCGCGAAGAATCAAAATGCGGAGCGCGTTCTCCGGCGCCGCTTCCCTTCCGCCCGGGCAGCCACGGCTTCCCGAGGGCGAGGCGGCCCCTCAGGGGCTGCTCTCCCCGCCGCCGCCCCAGCAAACCTGCGCCCTGAGGGCGGCCGGGCTCCGGGCTCGGGGCGGTGCGGAGCGAGCTGGGGACGCCGGGCCCCACCCGAGTGCGGGCCCAGGATTCCCCGTCGGGGGGCGCGAGGCGGCGCGGGCGGCGGAAGGCCGGCGGCAGGTCGGAGGCCGCGGGGGGCGGGGCGGGGCGGGGCGGGGCGGGGCCGCGTTCAGGCGGGAACGGCAGGCCCCGCCCCCGCCGCAAGCCCCCGGCCCCGGACCGGTGGAGGCCGCAGTGGGAAGGGCGCCCGCCCCACGGTGAGGGCAGACGTTGACAAAATGGCAGTGATGCCAACTTCCATTGAGGGCCGTCCGTGAGCGGCACCGCGCCGAGCACTGCACGGGCCTCGCTCCGTCTCACTTAGTTCTCACAGGAGTCACCGTCACACCCACTGCGCTGAGGGGAAAGCTGAAGAGCAAAGGGGTGAGGGGACTGGTTCCGGGTCACGCTGGCAGCGTTGAAATCTCTCCCCACCAGTCTCCTCACTGGGCTTGTGTTTTTTTGTTTTTGTTTTAAATATATTTTATTGATTTTGTACAGAGAGGAAGGGGGAGAGATAGAAACATCGATGAGAGTCATCGATCAGCCGCCTCTTGCACACCCCCTACTGGGGATATGCCCGCAACCAAGGTACATGTCCTTGACCGCAATCGAACCCGGGACCCTTCAGTCCCAAAGCCGATGCTCTATCCATTGAGCCAAACCGGTTTCGGCTTGTGTTGTGTTTTTTGTTTGTTTGTTTTTTGTTGTTGTTTGATTATGTTTTTATTGTGTGTGTTTAAGAGAAAGGAGGGAGAGGGAGAAGGAAACATCAATGTGAGAGAAAAACATGGTTAGGTTGCCTCCTTACCAGCCATGACCTGGGGATCTAATGGGCAACCTGGACATGTGCTCTGACCTGAAATCCAACCAGCACCCTCTCTGTGCACAAGGTGACCCCCAACTGAGCCACACCCAGCAGGACTCATTTTTATTTATTTTTTATTGATTTTTTACAGAGAGGAAGGGAGAGGGATAGAAAGCTAGAAGCATAGATGAGAGAGAAACATCGATCAGTTGCCTCCTGCATACCCACAGCCAAGGTACATGCCCTTGACCAGAATCGAACCTGGGACCCTTCAGTCCGCAGACCGACACTCTACCCACTGAGCCAAACCGGTTTTGGCTATTAATTTATTTTGTTAAGTCATTGTTTTATTTAAAAAAATATATATTTCATTGATATTTTTACAGAGAGGATGGGAAAGGGATAGAGAGTTAGAAACATCGATGAGAGAGAAACATCGATCAGCTGCCTCCTGCACACCCCCTACGGGGGATGTGCCCACAACCAAGGTACATGTGCCCTTGACCGGAATTGAACCTGGAGCCTTTCAGTCTGCAGCCCGATGCTCTATCTGCTGAGCCAAACCTGCTAGGGCTAACCTTTTCCTTTAGTACCAACTAGGGAATTATTCTAGCAATACATAGGAGAATAGTGTGATCCAGTGCAGAAATCTAATATCCCTGGTCATCTTGTCAGCTGCCACCCTTCATGCTTTAATATTAAAGTGCTATTGTTTTCTAAAGCTTTTAAAAATTATTTATGCTCCCTCAGCTCTGTAGTGCAGCATCATTCAACATTAGGCATAATGCCTCTAACAAATGGCACTTGGAAAAAATAGCAGGCATGTTTTGGTGACTCAGAGCTGATCAGGAGTCTACTGAAATTTCATGTCATATATATATATATATATATATATATATATATATATACATATATATATATATAATATATTTTAAATAAATAAAATATATTTTAAAATATATATATATATATATTAAAATATATTTTATTGATTTTTTTTGCCCCCCACCCTTCCTCCCATACATACCCTCCCTCCCCAGAGTTTTATGTCCATTGGTTGTACTTATATGCATGTATGCAAGTCCTTCGGTTGATCTATTATCTCCCCCCGATCTTCCTCCCCTCCCCATCATGTCTTATATTTGTCTAGTTTTCTAATATGGTACCACAAAGCTTTGGCTAAGGAGCACTAAAGTATTTGGGACATGAGATGGTGAAGGGTACAATGGCCAGTCTTTGGGTAGGAGGGCAGAGTGGAGAGCCATGGGAAACCTTGAATAGGATCAAACCTTCATATGCAATTATCTGTTCCATCTCTGTCTGACAAACTGAGTGACCTTGGGCTCCAGTTTCCTTATGTGTCAAATGGAGGAGGAAATAGCATATTTTTTTTAGCTTCTCCAATCTCCTAGTGTTGATGTAATGATCAAATGAGATAATGGCTGAGAATGTACTTTGGAAAGACTATCAAAGTGAGATGATTTAAAACTGACATATATTAAGCACTTACTAAATGCCATGGGAGAGACACAAAGAATAAAATATGACCCAGTCCCAGACCTGAAGACATTCAGAATGTAGTTGAGAAGATAAGACATGCACATGGAAAGCAAATAATATAAAGCAGCAAAGGTGTCAAAAGAGCTGTTGATATTACACGTTCTAGAGAAGCTCAACTAAAGTACATTTCCCCCCTGCAGGAATGAATGGGAAAGGCTATGAAATAAATGTTCATTTTACCTGGGCCTGAAAGCAGAGAAAATATGGATCATTTACAATGGAGGCAACATCCCAGCAAGTGGAGGCAGAGCTAAGGAGTTCAAGCTGTACTCTGGGTGCAAGAGGGGACTGGACCTGCTGAAGTGCTGGATTTCACAGGCCAGCGCCACTTAAGACTAGAAAGTTGAGTGGCTAGACTGCCCTGGCAGTTAAAACTGAAGTAAAATACTGAAAAAGGATCTTATAATCAGACACCATCTGATGTCTATGAGCAAGAAAGTTGCAAGAGGCCCTAGAATTCATTCTCTTTCTTCCCATTCCTACTGCCCCCTTCTTGTGTGTGTGTGTGTTTAACACAGCTTTGTTGACATAGTTTGGCATGCAAGTGTACAGTTTATTATGTTCTGACAAAACTATACAGCTGTGAGACCATCACCACAATCCAGCCAGTGAACATACGCACCATCCCCTCAGTCCCTAAGTGTTTACTTTGCCCCATTGTAATTCCTCTCTCTGGCACTTCCCAGCCACTTAACTGCTTTCTGTTACTATAGATTTGTTTCTATTTTTTGGAATTTTATATAAATGGAATTAAAAAGGTACTCTTGCCCTAGTCAGTTTGCATAGAGCATCGTTCTTGACTGAAGGGTCCCAGGTTTGATGCCAGTCAAGGGCACATATCAAGGTTACAGGCTTGATTCTGGCCATGGTCAGGGCACATGTGGGAGGCAGCCAATCGATGTGTCTCTTTTATATTGATGTTTCTCTCTCTGTCTCTCTCCCTCTCTTCCACTGTCTAAAAATCAATGGAAAAATATCCTCAGGTGCGAATTAAAAAAAAAAAAAAAAAGTACTTTAAAAAAAACCAAAAAAATCTATTTTAATGATTTTTTTTACAAAGAGGAAGGGAAAGGGATACAGAGTTAGAAACATCAATCAGCTGCCTTCTGCACACACCCCCACTGGGGAACGTTCCCGCAACCAAGGTACCGAACCCGGGTCCCTTCAGTCCGCAGGCCATCACTCTATCCACTGAGACAAAAGTGGTCAGGGCAAAAACACTCTTTTTTGGCTTCTTTCGCAGCATAATTAATTTTGAACTCCATATATGTTATTTCTAGTATCAATAATTCACTTTTTTTGTTCATGTCTTTTTATTGCTGAGAAGTAGTATGAAATCCTCTTTAGAAATCTTAATTTGGCCGAGACCGGTTTGGCTGCCGAGACCGGTTTGGCTCAATGGATAGAGCGTTGGCTTGGGGACTGAAGGGTCCCGGGTTCGATTCCAGTCAAGGGCATGTACCTTGGTTGCAGGCATATCCCCAGTAGGGGGTGTGCAAGAGGCAGCTGATCGATGACTTTCTCTCATCGATGTTTCTAACTATCTCTCTCCCTTCCTCTCTGTACAAAATCAATAAAATATATTAAAAAAAGGAAAAAAAAGAAATCTTAGGAGGTGCTTTCTCCAAGACCCCAGGTACCTATCTCAGTGCTTGGCGTACGGAGACACTTATTTGTTAAAATTCCCACAGAGCTAATATCTTACATAGTTTTATTTGTTCTGGGGAATGCTTGGCCTTTATAGGCCTATCTCTTCGTCAGCGTTGTTCCTCTTACCTTCCGCCATGTCATATGCAAAATTACAATAATTCTTATTTATTTATTTATTTATTTATTTATTTATTTATTTTTTGCTAATCCTCATGGGAGGATATTTTCCCATTGATTTTTAGAGAGCCTGAAAAGAGGCAGGAGGGCGTGAGGGGAGAGAGAGATGTGAGAGAGACATAGCGATTGGTTGCCTTCCACACATCTCCCCCTCACCCTCCCCACCTGGGTTGGGGATCGAATCTGCAACCCAGGTACATGCCCTTGACTGGAAATCGACCCCTCATCCCTCTGGTGTGCAGGCTGATACTCTAACCACTGAGAGCAATGCTGGCCAGGACCAATCACCTGATTCTTAAATGTTCTTTAATGATAAACCAAGAGCATGCTCAAGTATTCCTGAGCTAGACTCTGTAGGGAATGGCGGTGTAGAGAGACAAATTAGCCCACAATCTAGCTCTACCTTCTTGAAGCCATTGCTCTTGATCAAGTATTCAAAAACTATTCATGTGTATGTTTTTAACTAGAAAAATGCAAATGGGAATCTGAGAAAAAGCCTACTTAACCTTTCAGACTTGGACATTCCTTCGCTGCTGTGTTGTTTAGAATTTCAGAGAAGGATGGAGGCTTGCTGGGACACTGCAGGGACTCTGTGTCCCACATTCTAGCCAAGAAACAAAACTATGCTCCAAACATAAAGATTTCAGATGAGTATTTAGTATTTGATAAATATTTTACTTACCAAACTAATGGAAACTTTTAAGTAGAATATGTTTCACACTGAAAATGTGGGCTTAAATACTTAAACAACCGGTTTCAAAGGTAGGATGACATTAAAGTAGCCATTGGAGCCGAAACTGGCTTGATTCAGTGGTAGAGCGTCCGTCTGCGGACTAAAAGGTCCCGGGTTCGATTCCGGTCAAGGGCATGTACATTGGTTGAGGGCACATCCCCGGTAGGAGGTGTGCAGGAGGCAGCTGGTCGATGTTTCTCTCTCATCGACGTTTCTAGTTCTCTATCTCTCTTCCTTTCTCTCTGTAAAAAATCAATAAAATATATTTTTAAAAAAAGTTCTGATTTAAAAATAAATAAATAAATAAATAAATAAAAATAAATAGCCATTGGACTCTGGAACCACACTTAAAAATAATGCCATACCACTCCGAAACTATCTGAAGACAAGTAGCAGGAATATATCACGGTATTTTGGACCCAGAGACTAGTTTCAGGAATTAAAAATTTTACAGGCAGTCAAGAGATTTTAGAATTATTTTCAAGGATGTTCACTAGAAAATGAAGGTATTCAGACCCACAAACTATTGATGATTAAGCTTGAAAATTTCATGCCCATTGTAAGTACATGATTTAAGGAGAAAACAAGTGGGTAAGAAATATGTAATCAACCTATGACATCAAATGAAAATTTTAGAACAAATGTTCATAATGTTCTATTTTTGCAGTTGCCTAACCCTTCTAAGGGATTTCAAACCCCAGCCCCTTGTGGCTTCAAGGGTTGCTTGTCTTGTTCATGGAAACTTGTACAATCGGGAATAAGCCTGATTTTACTTTAAAACATTATTGTGAGCTAGAATGTAAACAAGGCTCCATGGGGAATTTTAGATCTCAAAGAAAAAGCTGAGAGATTTGGCTCAAAAAATGGAACAGATTGAAACAATTTTTACCAAAGGAATAGGAGACAGTAAAGGAAATTGATTCAGAAGACGACGACTAGTATCATTTTGAAAAGCTGGCTATGAAGCACGAAGTGTGTGGTTCCTGTTACGATCATTGAGTGTGCTGCTGTCATGCTAAAACATGTACCAGGCTGATAAAAGTATTTCTCTGGCTTTTAAACTGTTGGTGACACTGTCTTGTACTGAGTTACAGGTGAAAGAGATTTTCTCCTGTAAAAATTGTATCAGAACCAGTGGGAGAAACAGGCTAACCAAAAGTATTTGGAGTTTCATGCTTGGGAAAAACACATATTGTATATTTTGAAACCCCTCCTGTGATTAAAGTGCTAGGACAAAACAGCAAAACCTTAAGGAAGGTAGCAATTTAGTATACTTCCTAGATCCCATTTACCAAAGATAAATTTTGCTAAACTAATTTACAGTATGCAACCATGGTAGCTAAGTAGATGAGGTATTAAATCTGTGTTTCCCATGATTGGGTTGCTTTATTTAAAAAAAACAAAACAAACAAACAAGCAAAACAAACAAACAATAAAACAACCATACAGACCCAGCCCAGCCAGTAAGGCTTAGTAATTGAGTGTTGACCCATGAACCAGGAGGTCTTGGTTCGATTCTCAGTCAGGGCATATGCTCGGGTTTCAGGCTCAATCCCCACTAGGGGGTATGCAGGAGGCTTTCTCTCTTCTAGGTGTTTCTATTTCTCTCTCTAAAAATTAATAAAAACATATTAAAAAACAAAAAAACAAAACCACACACAAGCACAGGTAATTCTGAAATGGATGCTTTTCTTGGTCAGTTAATTTATTGGTACCTTCAAATGATTAATAATGAGAGGCTCTATGGACAAGGAGGACATTAAATCAAGGGTTACTGTCTCAGATGTCTGCGGGAATCAGGCAATTTGTGAAGCATACAGAAGAGGGAGTGGTAGGAAGTGTGACAAACTAGGAGAGAATAAAGGAGCAGCCATCACCTCGTTCCAACCGATAGTTGCCATGTGGGAATGGAAGTCCAGGGACCACATATTTGATTATTGAAAAAACAACAAACAAACAAACAAACACTTAGAAATCCAGCTCTTATATACAATATCCAGATTTTTATGTGAAATTTCCTGAATGATTAATTCTGGCAACCAGTTGTTTTATTTGTAATAATTATTACAGCTGCAATACACATGTATCTTATAAAACTAGAAAATGTAATAAAATGCAATAAAACATTATCACCAGAGATCACCTTAGTGCATATCCTTTCAGATCTTTTAAAATAAATATATAGACATAGTATAAACAAAATGTGGTTATTCTGTATATATGGTTTTGGAAGTGGCATTTTGTTAATGATTTTGAACTTTTATTATTTTATTTTATTGCACCCCATCTAATCCCATCCATACTAAAAATTCCCAATTGACCCCAGTTATTTTTTATAGCAACTTGTTTACACCAACAGGGAACCCAGGACCATGCACTATGTTGTTATCATATACCTTAACTATTTCTAAGGTACTTAACTAGTAGTTTTGACTTTCATACAGCCCGGCCAGTGTGGCTCTGGGTTGAGTGTTGACCCATGAACCAGGAGGTCGCAGTTGATTTCCCAGTCAGGGCACATGCCTGGGCTGTGGGCTCGTTCCCCGTTGTGGGGCATGTAGGAGGCAACCAATCAATGATTCTCTCATCACGGATGTTTCTATCTCTCTCTCCCTCTCCCTTCCTCTCTCTGAAATCAGTAAAAACATATTTTTAAAAGGTCGTACCGACTTGCTGAAGAGAGCCGGCCCGGTGCCCTGCAGAACGCTTCACCTTTTAGATTTGCCCAGTTGGTCCCTCCTAGTGTCCTTTAGCTTGTTTCTCTATCCCCAGTACTTCCTGTGAGCTGCAAGTTACATCTAATAATGAATTCTCTTTGGGGATGGGGATGGCTAGAATGTGTACTAGGTTGGGTTATGCATTGCCTCACACCAGTGTTGGTCTGCTGGCGAATGTTACTAAGTCCCATTCCAGAGCACAAGTGATGACAGTCTGAGCCCTCCAACATACATTTTTGGCCTCAAGACTGTAAACTGATAGTGTTACTTGGCACCATATGTATGTCCAGTTGTCCCCAACCATTTTACCTATGATTTTAACATCATTAATAATCTTCGCCAAATCAATACTTTTATTAAGTTCACAAAATGCTGTTTTTCAAATTCTATCATTCTTTCTATATTTATTAGCTGTGTTTTCCTCCCAACGAGCATACAAATTAGTTTTATAAAAAAATAACTGCCAGTGTGCCAAACTCAATTAATCTGGGGGCAGGATCTGGTTTATGGGCCTCTACTTTCTGATCTACAGTTAAGCCAGATAAAGTCTCACCCCTGTTATCTGTACCCTGAAGCATTAGGTCTTCTGTTTCTCACACTCAATCACTTCGCACTCGTCGAAATTTTGCTTGTAATCTTCTCAAGGCATTTTATGTATTTTTCTCCCTGGCTAGACTGTGACCTCCTCAAAGGCAGGGACTCTCTTGCAATATATTTCCTTTGCTACTCCTAATGTGTGTGTGTGTGTGTGTGTGTGTGTGTGTGTGTGTGTGTGTTTAATGGTTTTTAGACGGGGAGAGGGGGGAGAGAAAGAGAGAGAGAGAGAGAGAGAGAGAGAGAGAGAGAGAGAGAGAGAGAGAGAGAGAGAGAGAGAGAGAGGTTGATTTGTTGTTCCACTTATTTATGCATTGATTCTTGTATGTTCCCAGACTGGGGATAGAACCCAGCTTGGCATATCAGGATAATGCTCTAACTGAGCTACCTAGCCAGGTCCTACTGTGCTTTAAAGTTACTTTGGCTACCACTGATTCTAATTAACAACAAAAAAGCACCAGTAAGAACCAATGCGTTCATTATTGTTTCTTGTGTTCCGTGGCTTCCCCACTAAAAGGTTCTCTAAATATCTATCATAAAAAGTACTTATCACATTTACAGTTTACCTGTGCTGTGGAAATGAATACCTGTGATGGCGTGAGGGAAAGTAAGTCTTTATTGGTCTTCAAAAGTTAGAAGTCATTTTCTAGATGTGACATTGGGTAAGTCCCATCATCGCTCAGAGTTTCTCTCTTTTCATTCAGTAAAATGAGGTGACTGGGATATCTTTAAACTCACACCAGATTGGCTCTAGGTCCCCAGGATACATGCATAAGCAGTGCCTTTCAGTGTATTCCTCCCAACCCATTTCTCCCTGCTTGGAGAGCACCTTTGCTTCCTCCACAGTCAGCAGTACCCGATCCAAACTTAGGTGCAATACCACCACAGTGGACAGAATTTTGCCTCTGATGACTCTCCACTGGTCTAATCTACACATCCCAGGAAGTTTGCTTCTATTTCCACTGTCAAACCTTAGTCTTTTACAATGAGAGCCAAGTGTAGATATTCCAAGGGCCCTATCCAAGCAACTGTCACAGCAGAGGCCCAGTCTTAGGTCGTCTTGCTGCGAGAGAGGAGAGGATGGAGAAGACAGAGAGGGCTGAGATTGGCGGGACCCTCGTCCTTGCCGTGAAGCCTCACCATTAGGGTTCTGAGTGACCCCAGGCTGGATCTGGGTATGGGTCTTTCTAGAAAACAAAATGGGCTGAGACTGGTTTGGCTCAATGGATAGAGCGTCAGCTTGGGGACTGAAGGGTCCCGTGTTCGATTCCGGTCAAGGGCATATACCTTGGTTGCGGGCATATCCCCAGTGGGGGTTGTGCAGGAGGCAGCTGATGGATGACTCTCTCTCATTGATGTTTCTAACTCTCTATCTCCCTCCCTTCCTCTCTGTACAAAATCAACAAAATATATTAAAAAAATAAAAATAAAAAACAAAATGGAATAAAGATTTCCCCCCAATCCTTTTACTTCAGGTCTAATAGTGTCCTTCCCCCTTTCATTCCTTCTGTATAGGTATAATATCAAGGACCAACCAATTGGCTTTATGTGCCTGGAATTAGCTCTTTCCCTAGAAATAAATCAGACAGAGAAAGACAAATACCATATTTCACTTGTATGTGGAATCTTAAGAACAAATTAAATGAGCAAACAAAATAGAAACAAAGTGTCCTCCTTGTTGGCTGAGGACTGTCTCTGGCCTGACTATAAATTTCCTAGTCTGGCCTAAACCGGTTTGGCTCAGTGGATAAAGCGTCGGCCTGCGGACTGAAAGGTCCAGGGTTTGATTCCGGTCAAGGGTATGTACATTGGTTGCGGGCACATCCCCAGTCGGGGGTGGGCAAGAGGCAGTTGGTAGATGTTTCTCTCTCATTGACATTTCTAACTCTCTATCCCTCTCAATTCCTCTCTGTGTAAAATCAATAAAATATATTTTTAAAAAATTTCCTAGTCTTGAGAGCTCCAGATGGTGAAAGGGGAAACATGTCTGAGGAGTAAGGTGGAGAGAACACCACCACCAGCCTTATTCTTCATAAACCACATTCAGGCCCGTGCCAAACAGGGCTAGCCAAAGCTAACACCCAACGTCTTCTCTGAAAGCCTGCACGAACCCTGTCCTGTGACTCTCAAGAGACACAAAATGGATCCATAATCCTTCCATTTTCTCCCTTACCTTGCTTTAGACTTAGTGGCTGATGATGAAAATCGGGTGGTGAGTTGCCACAGTCTACCTGATGATGTATCCTTGGCAACACCCTATGAACCTCACTACCAACGGTAAATGTTAAACAGAACTATTAAGGGTGAGCAGCCTTGCCCTGGCCGGTTTGTCTCAGTGGATAGAGCATCGGTCTGCGAACTGGAGGGTCCATAATCAATTCCGGTCAAGGGCATGTGCCTTGGCTGCCAGCACATCCCCAGTAGGGGGTGTGCAGGAGGCAGCTCATCAATGTTTCTCTCTCATCAATATTTCTATTTACTTTATTGATTTTTCACAGAGAGGAAGGGAGAGAGATAGAGAGCCAGAAACGTCAATGAGAGAGAAACATCGACCAGCTGCTTCCTGCACACCCCCTACCGGGGAAGTGCCCGCAACCAACATATTGATTACATGCCCCTGACCGGAATTGAACCTGGGACCCTTCAGTCCCCAGACCAACGCTCTACCACTGAGCCAAACCGGTTTCAGCTCTCATCGATATTTCTAACTCTCTATTCCTCTTCCTTCCTCTCTGTAAAAAAAAAAAAAAAAAAAAAAAAAAAAAAAAAAAAAAAAAAAAAAAATCAGTTAAAAAAGGATGAGCAGCCTCCTAGTACATAGGGAAAGGGAAACTCTTGCGATGCAGGTACACTTTGGAGCCTGCAGGTAATGCAGGGTGGCTGGGGCTGCTGTTCCCTGGGCCTGTCCTCATCAGATGTTAGCACTGTTTTCCCTCAGTAAGGAGAGAATAGCGACAGAGGCGAGAAGAGTCTTGGTGAGCATAGACCTAGATACGAATCAGCCAGTCAGCAGCAGATGGAGCTTGAAATCAGAGTAAAGCACAAGGATCCGAATGAAGGAGTAGACAAGACTCCCAAGAGTAAAGACAGAACTGAAGAGATGGATATAAAGCTGCACACACTTCTCTGATTTCCCAGGCTTGGAGCACCCTGCTGAGAAAATTTCCCAGCCACAGTCTTTGGATTCACTTATCTATAATAATAAAAGCATAATGTACTAATTAGACTGGACGACCTTCCGGACAAAGCTGGGGGAAGCCGGTGCTGGGGGAGGCCTACTCTTGCACAAATTTCGTGCATCAGGCCTCTAGTTTAATAATAATAATAGTTCAGAATCCCAGCTGTAGAACAAGTAATCTAGTATCAGACCATTTATCCCTCCAAAAAAGTACATCCTCCACCCCCTCAGGCAGTCAGTGGTATGAATCTGAACTCACTCACATTCACACGGAGGTCTCTTCTCTGCATTTTCTAGATTAGCTGGCGTCATCTTAGAATAACGCCTAAGTGTGAAATGTCTGTTCTCAGGAGTCATCATTTCCACTGTGAAATTCTAAGTGACAGAGAATGAAGACTAAGGATCCAAGATTAATTATCAGATTAATTTGCCTAAAACCAATTTACCTAGAGACAATTAGTCTAAAATAAATATTTATCAAATCTGCAGCATTTTCAAAAGGATCTAGCAGATTCACCCTTTCACTTTTTAATGATGCTGTCTGTATAACCTTGAATTGTTAGTCAACTGAATAAGCCACATACCTGTTCATTTGTTTCAGATATATTGACATCTTAACAGCATGGATGTAGAAGTTAGACCAAACCACAAAATCATATTGAGCTTTATTTTTTTCAAGGCATCTAATTTGTAAAGTAATATTGGATTAAGAAACACGCACACACACAAAAAGATACACAAAATGTCTGTACCAATTATATTTATTGCTAGAAACTTTAAGCTTTTTTAAAAAAGTGTTTGAACAGTAAATAACATAAAGGTAGGAGGAAGCAATCTTCTCATTTACAAAGTGCTGCAAATTTGATAAATTTATGTTACTGATAATTCAGAAGAACTCTTGGATGAATAGATATAAATCCTTGAAATACCCAAAGCATGACAAAAAAAGAATAGAATACCTAAATGGCTAATAGAAATAAAAATTTAAAAAAATACCCCAAAGGGATTTGAGCTTTTGGCAGTGGTAGTAACTTGAAACACACAGGTTTTCAGTGAAATGGTTTTAAGAGATCTAGCTTTAGGTAAAGGCATTTCAGCAAAAGTGAACAAGAACCAAGTCAAAGTGTTTTGTCCCTCTGGCGCCCCTGAACCTCCAAGTTGGGGAGTTACAGTAGATGTAATCCTGGATCCCTCTGAAAGGCGGCAGCTCTGGGGAAGCGAGCTGCTGCCAGGGAACCAGGTGCAAGAGTGACCTGAGAGAAGGGAGTGAGTGCGTGTGAGCATACGCCCACGGGGGCACACACTGGGCAGGAGGGCTCGATGCACCTACACCCGGGGAGTGTGAATAGCCTGAAGCTTCAAAAATGTCTCCCCCAGCAATTCCATCCCCCGAGACCCACTCCTAACCACCTCCACCGGCTGAGGAGAAGTACAGGCACCCCGTTAATCTTCCCAGGCTCACGTGAGTCCCTGAGAATCAGGCAGTACAGGCAGCAGGCCCCCTGGAGCTGGTCTCTATTCCCAGCCTTGAGGTGAGCAGCTCTCTTAATCCTTAGAGAGAAGGTGGCCAAGAAGTAGCTCATTTATAAGGTCCACCTCTTCATCTAGATACAGAAGTAAGAGACGATGGTGTGGTAAGAACCTGGTTGCCCTCCTATCTGACCCAATGGGTGGGGTACAAAATAGTCAGGAGCTTCCACGATGTCTTCCCTTCCTGTAATCCAGGACCACAACACTGCCTGATTTATGCATAGACTTAACCTGGAGATACAGACTGGAACCAGACCTTTACAGTGTATTGGAGCCACCTGTGCATGCGCAAGTTTATGCTACAGCACAGGCTGCACATGTGGGAAGGAGGCCAGTCACCCCCACCGCGGTAACTGGAAGGTTCCTCCTCCACAGTCCATTTGGAATGTCATCATCTTTGGGTCTCTGGCCCTTGGGGCCTCCCCAAAGG